AAAAAATATGGTACTAGTATAACTTTATGCATCTTAAATTATATATCAAATATTATACATTTTACAACATAAAAGAAAATAGGTACTAGTATAACTTTATGCATGCCTTTATTTTATTATTTTTTCCCTTTGTTTTATTATTATTTTTTTCCCTTTTATGTTGGGAAATGCATAATGTTTGATATATAATTTAAGATGCATGAAATTATGCTGGAACCATATTTTTTATTTTTAAGGAAAAGAGATTGGTTTAATTTTTTTAGATGAAAGAATTAGGCATCTTAATTTAAAAATAAAAAAGAAAAAGAAAAAAAGTAATAACAAGATATAATTTATTTGAAATATATGTATTGGATCAAAAAATCGTCTACATTTTAAAAAGTTGGGATATTTATAAAGTAAATAACAATTTTTTTTTTTTGGTTACTTTTTTTTTATGCATAAATTGTTCATGAGGGTAGATTGGTCCAATTTATTAAATTGTAAAGTTAAAAAAATTCTCCTAAACGGTTAAAAGGTAATTTGGTCAATTTCTTATATAAAAGGGTATCTTTGTCTATTTTTTAACCTTCAAGTAGTGTCTTTGTCTAAAAAGTAGGTAAATTTCATTAAAGTGTCCTTTTGACAAACCTCAGGGGGTGTAACTATACTTTACCCTTATTTTTTTTATTTTGAACACGTGCCATATTTTTATTGGGGGAGGATGAAAGTTGTCCGCAGGACTCAAGCATTTTTCCAAAATATATTCTCTCTTATTGGGAATATAAATTTTTAAGAGAGATTAATTTTATTATTAATTTTATTATATTGATAGCAAATTAATTATCAAATTATTATCATAATGAATATAAGAGATGTAATGATTTATTTTGTATAAATTTAATGAAAGAAAGATAAATTAATAATATTACAAAAAAAAATAATATTTTGACTTTTTAAGTAGGACATTTATTTTAAGACAACAAAAACCAAAAAGGTGCACAAATTTTTTTGGCTAGAGAGTATATATAATATATATGCCACGTGTCATGCTGACCAACCATATTTCGCTTCCGCCTTGCCTAATACTTGTGGGTTCTTAATTTATGAAAAATTATTAGATGGTCCTGATCTATTTGATATTTGGAGGACTAATTCAATAAAAACCCTCCGATCATGAAACTTTGTAATTTATTAATACACTCTTGTGGAGTCATTTTCTCAATCCGAAAGGTAATGATCCACTAAGTGTTAATGATACAGGACTATCTAATAATTTCTTTTTATTTAGACTTGAGAATTCAATGGCTCTTTAATGACCCTCTAGAGTCATCTTGTGATGAATTTTTCTTACTGAACTAATGAATTAACTTGTTTATTAAATGACTCATTTCACTTTTCACATAACTCAATAAATTATTTAAATTTAGTGATTAAATAAAAGGAGCTCACGTCTCTTGTTATGAGAAAAGTCTTTGATAATATTACTCTTATTCTTTTTGAGAGATCCTTCTAAGTCTTAAGAGAGCTTGCTCTTGAGAAGAGTCACATAGATAATTTTTTTGAGATTTATAAAAATTCAAATGAGTCATTTAAAACATCTTTCAATTCAATGATTAAAATGAAGAAGTTGCGGTTAGGGAGCTCTCTTAAGATCATTACTAATTTTTTTTATTATTACCATTTCTCTCAATTTTGTTTATTTATTTATGAATGCAATTTGTGGAGATAACTTTATTTGTCATTCATTACATAAATTCAAAAAATAAAAAACTAGTCATAAAAGACAATTTTCTAAAAATAAACTTTCTTTTAATTGAATTTTCAAAAAACACTTCTCAGGAAATATCAACCATGCATATTTTTATATAATTTTTTTATTTTCAATTTTCAAAAAGCAAAAAACTATTCTTAAAAAGTTGAACAAAGCATTTCAGCGGATGTACTTTTAGTTTTAAAGAAAGCGGCATCATTTTTTCTAAGTTCGCAAGTTAGAGAATAGAGATAGATTAGGCACATATTTGTTAATTTATTGAAAAGAAAAATTCATATGTATATTGTTCAATGACTCTGGGGCCGTTTGGATTGGGTAGATTTGGAGGGCTAGGGAGGAAAAAAAAAAAAAAAATGATAATGAGAGTGTGTTTGGTTAGTTAAAACTTAAAAATGAGTGAAATAGTATTTGAGTAGTATTTTTATAATTCTAAAACTGTCTTCAACAGTTAAAAGGAAAAAATTATTATTCTATTCATATCATAGCTATTTAAAAAGACATAATAGTAATTTGGTTGTTATCATTTCTCTTCTTTTTTTAACAAAAACACTATCTCTTCTATCTATTCAAACATAAATAGAAATTATTGGTATAATTTTTTTTCTTTCATAACTAAACTGTTACTAATACTATCCTCTGTTTTTTTTTTTTTTTTTCAAACAAAGCATAGTAAAAAGGTAAATTATCTGAAACTCTCCTTTAAAAAAAAGTAATATCTCTTGAGATTTTGCATCACTGTGACTACTTCTGATGTCAGTCAGGTTAAGTCCGGTTTAGGTATGGCAACGGAACTGGTTTGGAGCGGGTTTCCCTAAATCCTGCCCCGCCCCGTTTAATTTTTGGCAAGTCCATGCCCTCCCCGTGGGAAGTATTGTACCTTGTGCCTAAAGGCGAATTCAGGGGTAGGCGAAAAAAAAAAAAAAAAAATAGTAATGGTAACCAATCCAAAGTTAGCCCACCCCATTCAGAAATGCTGGATCCGCCCTTGCCCATGCTTGCCCTACTAACAAACTCAAAAATTGATCTGGTGTCCCCCTCTGTCTTCCACAATTTTATTGGTTAAATAGCCCGAACAAAAGAAGACGAAGAATAAATCAATCCCTCTGCCTCTGCCTGAGAAGAATAGATCAAATAATTATAAAATAAGAGATATATAATATTTTATATATATATAAAGGAGAAGAAGAAATGAAAAAGGATAGCTCTACCTGTGTGAGTGCGTGGATCTACTTGAGAAAGTGAAACAGAGACTGGTGAGGGCGTGAGGGATTGAGGTCAAGGGTTTGGTTTTTGAGTTTTGACTCTCTTTGTCTTCCCTTAATGCCCCGCTCAATTCAATATATATGTGTGTGTGTGTGTATATTAAATATAGTTATATGCTTAGCGTGGGGCGGGACGGATATGTATAAGAACTCTTACCCGTCCCGTGACCCGCGACGGGTACAAAATTTGTATCCATGTCCATCCCAATAATATAAAAGTTGTTCTCATATCCGTTATTAATGGGGCGGGGCAAAAAAAATTGCCATCCCTAGTCCGGTTAGTGAGATAACTTCTAAACGTCAAAATAGTATTACATGCGTCAAAATAACTTAAATGTCCATATCAACTGTACCAAAAAAAAAATCATTTTTTGTGATAAAAATGCAGGAAACATTAAACTTAAATATGAGCAATTTATTTCTGGTCAAGAAACATTATTGTTTCAATTGAAGGCATCTCAATTGATGGTACTCAAAATATCTGACGTGGAGAGCTGGTGAATCAACATGAGAAAGCATAAAAGCGACGGTTTAATTCTCCCTTCTTTTTTCTGACTCTGTCTCCTCGTCGTCGTCAAAATGTTGGTATCAAATTGAAAAAAAAAAAAAAAATGATTCCTTCAGAACTGTAATTAACAAACATACTGTCATATCATAGAAAATATACATGCAGAAAAAGAGTAACCAGTTGTGTAAATTATTCCTGCTTTAAAGCGCAAGTATGTCTACACACTGTTCATTTACAATGCATGTTTTAGGGTCTTGACTGAATAATTAACCTTTCTGATAAAACAATATTCGTTACTGCAGGGACAATACTCATATATATATTCGAATGGTTAAGCAATATTGTATATATGTACAAGAAATTTACAAGGCCAGTTTAGCCCAGGCAAGCCAAAAGATTGCCGTTGAACCAAAACAAGGTCCAAGGCCATGAACAGAATTAATGACACCCCAAACACCAAATTTTCCATCAGTGAGATATATAGCCGTTGATAACTGCTCCGAAGCGGTTAGCAATGGATGTCTGCAATCAATCACTCACAACTCCTAGTCAGGTGGGCGGGAGATAGCGGAAATTAAACTCCATTCCATTGAAAGAACTGAACTGAGAGGGAATCCTTTTTGGAAGACTTGAGTATTCTGTCAATGGAGTTGGCAACCATCTTCAGCCCCTTGTTTTTGCCAGATAATGTAGTACCATGACTGTGAGGGCCAATTTACATAGCATGATTCTAGGGTTCCTTTTGAACGCCCAGTTTGACGAATTGGGGCCAATTATCACTCTTTGACTCCTTGTGTAACACCTGCATTTGTCCTGAGAATCTCCATATTGGCGAATGTTTATCCTATATCCTCCTCACCGCTGGCATTTTCCTTTCTTTCACATTGCATACCATCTATTATATGTGCCTCGGGTGTCATTGGATGTGGTAGGGGATCCGCCTAATGGATGATCATACGACTATGAATGATACTATATCCGAAATATTGTAAAACTTCTAGTAGCTTTTATTAGAAGACCCATTATGTCCCACATATAAACTCCAAAATATTAAACAAAACCAAATATACTGAAATACAATTATATTCGGTATAACCGTACAAGTCAAATCATTTGAAAGAAACATTTAAACTGCGTATATTTTATAAGTGTTAACTTTCTCTCTATACAAATTTATGCGAAGAGTTTGCAAAGAAAATAATATTTACACAATGGAGCGGATTGTGAAAGATGGTAGTAAGGATCAATCTCAGCATCAATCTCAGCAGGAAAGGAAAGAAGGAGTGTGCACAAGTCAAGTCAGGTCAACAAGAATCTTAAATTTCAAAAGAGGGTTATTGTGATATTCCACGTCACCTTAGGAGAAGTTTATGGCAGTTATATAATCTGTACAAATTTAGACGATTGTATTGGGCAGCAATCCAAGGGAAACTTTACCATGTGGGTTGTGTTTCTAATGCTTTTGGTTATGTGATATTTATATTTGATTCAGTTAATGACAATATTAAGCTGTCTTTCCAAATGGGTTTACGTGTTCACAGAGGAAATGTGGAAAAAAAGTTCAAATAGAATTTATATAAAATCATTATGTTACATTGAAGATTTGTAATTTGTTCTGTTTAATGTGAATTTTGAAAGATCTTGGTAAACCCAGAATTTAGATTTTGGAATTATCACTCTTTAATTATAAATTAAGTCCTGTTGTTTCTAAGTTTATAACCACTACCTTCAAGCATTCTGTACTCAGTGACTCTGCAATTTCACATCCCAAGTGTTTCTCTGTCATATATATATATATATATAATGTTTTTGACCCAATTGGGCAAATTAGGGCATTGATGAAGCTTATGCTTCTCCATCTGCCAATTCTGGGAGAGAGTGACTTAGTTCATCTCTCATCCATGTCTCAACTTTACGTCAACTAGTTTCAGAGGTAATTTCTGAAATCTCTCCACGGATGGAGGTAATATTTCCTACTCTTAGTGAAACCAAATTGAAAACAATTAAGAGCCTATTTCTTTATCTGTTGCTGAACCCACTATCAAATCAGTTCCTTCTTTGCTTTGATGGTTTTCTTTTTGAAAAGGGTTTTGAAGTGACAGATTCTTTGCTTCATGTAGCTTTCAATCAATCTCCCACAAGCTGATTCAAAAAAAGGGAAGAAAAGGTAGAAGAAGAAAGATGAGAAGAGCAAGCAAAGCATAAGGTTCAGGTATTAAATCTAAGATGTGATTTCTAAGTGTTTGAAAGTATGCCAGAACCGTCATTTGGCAATATGACTGGCACATTTCTGAAACTTAGGGCGCCCTGGTTGACAAGTATGGAGTACTCACTGCTGCCAGACGTTGGCACCAAGGCGCTGTGTGTTGGCATTTCTCTTGTCAGCATTGGCATCACAGCTGCCTATATTTATTTCAGGAAGAAAGCGAAGGCCAAGGCCAAGGGTCTGAGATTAATCATCTTTATATAATTCTCTCCTGTTTATTGAATATTGGGAACTATTTGAATTGATATGAATAGTTATTATTGTTGTAGTAGTTTCTGGATCATTAGTTTTTCACTTGTCTGTTTGGAATTTAAATCTGTGTTTTCTTCAGCTTTTTTAATGCTTTCCTTATCGATGAATCACTTTTTTATGAATTTATCCTGTTTTTTGAATTGTATCATAGTGATTTTGGGAACTATTTGACTTATAGTAGTCTCTGCATTATTAGTTTGTCACTTGTCTGTTTGGATTTTAAATCCGTGTTTTCTTCAGCTTTTATTGTGTTCCCATTATCCATTTGGTTATTGACGAAATGTAGATCATAAACTTCCATTCAACTAAACTTATACACTCCTTTGCCCCTTTTGAGGTGATTATTTTCCTTTATTATTATTATTATTATTTAACTGTTTGAGAAAGCAAAGCAACCGTAAACCGTAGTTTGCAATTTTATTTTTTCATCAGTAATTTATTCTTTTTAAGAATGAAGTTTTGATTTTGGATACAATTTGAGACTTCCTATTTGAAAGTAAATTATCTAATTATTTTACCAAGCATTTGCAGTGGGTATATTTTCATGGCTTTGAAGAGAGTCCATTAGTCGCATATATAGAGAATTAATATTAAGTGTTCCTTAACTGTGTGGTTTTATATGCTCCTGCAGTCACTCCTTTTTCTTGGTGACACCATTTTAAAGGATGTTTTTGTGCCTTAGATATGAGAACATAAAAGGAATGAGTTTGTATGAATGGAATTCTCAATTCAAGCATTAGAATGATCATTTCTTCACGTACTACGTCTGAGTCTTCGTTTGTCATCACAAGTTCTTTAATTTGCAAATGATGTCTCTATCAAATAATGAGAATTCTTGTTTGAATATTCAGTTTATTAACATTGATCCTATTTTGCTTCCACCAAATATTCTTGTTCGAATGGGTGAAATATATCTCAACTATATCATCATTTTAGCCATAAAACATTTACTAGAAACACATATCTTTATTTTTGTTAGGTATATGAGTCACGTGTTTGGTAATTTCCTACTCAAAAATTGGGTTGTAATGTGTCAAAGTGTCTTGAGTCATCCGAGAAAACTTCGAAGACAAGGAAGACACATATTTGTGAAGAATACAGCAACAAAGCTTCATTCTCAATCACATGTCTAGAGATTGCTCTTTTTACTTCCTAAATAAAACTGAATTATCCTTCATAAACCTGACTTGGTATCAAATTTCACTCTTGCCTTGTGATCCTTTGTAAACACTGAAGATTGTATGGTCATATCTCATAGCAGATTCCCTTGTCCCATTTTCTCATCCACACTAATTGTTATTTCCAGCATTTGCTTATTAGTTTTTATTTTTTTCCAGTTGTGAAATTCTGAATTTGTTCCTCGGTAATTTGCAAATATGAGGAACTTATAGAGGTATAGTTGCTTGGACCCTCAGAATTAGAAGTAAGCTTATCTATTTGAAACTATTGATGACAGGTTCCTTAAATTGTTAGTTTAAATTTTAGTTTTGTGTCGTGTTCTAAGGATTTTAAGTTAATGTTTGGTAAGGGGGAAGATATTCCTAGGGTTGGGTTTGAAAAGGCTTGCCTTTGCCTGGTTTGTTTTTCCTTTTAATTGCTCATATCTTCTGCCCCAATATTTTCATTCTCTTTTAATTTTTTTGGCCATCATGTGTTTAAAGTGGTGCGCAAGTTCTTGTTTCTTGCAAATTGACTATCTCAATGATGTTTTTTAGGCTGCTTAGACCCTCAGATTTTTAAGGAGTTCAAACTTGTGAAAAGAACTCAGCTCAGCCATAATTCTGCGAAGTTTAGATTTGCTCTTCCAACTCCTACTTCAGTGTTGGGGCTCCCTACCGGATATTTCATAAGATGCAGGTTTACGTAATAGTCTTTACTATCTTCCAATTTCTATTAATTACTGTTGTATCTGAACCTTTCAGCTTGTGCTGGATGGTGGTCAGGAATATATATATATATATATATATATATATATATATATATATACATATTCACTCACATTAAACAGTTGTATGTATGTTGAGACATCACGTCTGGGATTGCTTTATAACCAAGTATTGGTAGAGTGGCGAAAAACACTCACCTAGAGGATTATATCTGTTAGCATTGCCTATTGATGTGACTGACTTACAGAGGATGATCATTTGCTTCTACAAAGTTCTGGAAACATTTCAAAGTCTGCCTATTTTTTTTACGAGTTTTACAAATCGCCTAATCCCATACTAGGCATGTTTTATTTAAGAAAATGATTCATTATAATTATGAATTTGCCAAGACTTCAATAGATGATAACAATGCCTTTTGATCCCTTAGATGCACTAGGTTTTTCTCAACCAAACCAGCTGTATGAAACATTCTCTGAAGTATTCCAGATTCTCCTGCTGAGTTTTGTTTTTTCCACTAGCTTCCTCTACTTTTACACATTTATTCTAACTTATTTTTTTATTTAATTAGAAATTCAAAGTTGTTTTCAGCACCAAGCACTTCCTGAATCTTGAATGCTTATATTGCAGTAGCTGGTCGCTTGGTTGGACTGATGACTGACATCAGATTACTAATCATGTCTCGTTTTGTTAAACAGGGGAAAGGATAGCAAAGGTGATGAAGTTATCAGGCCATATACCCCAATTACTTTAGATTCAGATGTTGGATACTTTGAACTAGTTGTCAAGGTACTCCATCTTTGAATCGCATTCATGTTCTGTATATATTTCTAATTCTTTTGAAGATTTTTCACCTGAACTCAAATTGATATTGGTTTTGTCTGCAATAGATGTACCCAATGGGAAGAATGTCACACCATTTCAGAGTGATGCGTGAAGGCGATTACCTGGCTGTAAAGGGACCAGAGGTATTTTCTCTCGTTGTTGAGATTGATTACATGTTAATTATATAACAAGGACAGTGAAGTGGCTTCCAGAAATTCATATGGCTCTGAAGTGCCATGACACTGACCTCGATTTTAGAAACAAAGTAAAAGGAAAAAAATGAATTGTCACACTGATTTTGTACCAAAAGATGTTCCCGGCAAGCATCTCATCATTCATGTCTTTGCTTGTTTATATACTTCAAATCTTGATATCAGTCTATCCTCTACTGTTACTTCATGAAATATGGAAAGATGACTGATTTAGAACTTGCTACTGTTGCATCACAATCGGTGCTGCCTGTCCTATCTTCACCATTATCAATACCACTGTTAAAACCACCACTACCAGAATGACTGCAGTAGCTGCTGAACTGTGAGAGTTGGTGATCAAACATAGATCTATCATGGTGTTGTCCTTAATATATAATATTAGTCATAAGCTCAACTAACTTTACCTCACAGAATTTTAGCATATTAAAGTAATCAGTGCAACTTCTTTTTCCCATTCACTATAGAAATGGAGAGGCATCGGGGGGAAAGAATGATCTTGTATTCTCCAGCCTAGACTGTACGTTGTTTCAGCCAATTTACCCAATATTTTATATACTGGTTCATCACTATCTTGTTTACACTCGGTTTACATTCTTGAATTCTTTAATATCATTGTCACCTATATCTAATAGAATCCCTAAATAGTAGAGTACATAATTAGAGAGATTGTTGTTGCAGTATTAGTTTCTATATGTAGTGAATTTAATGAAACCATTTACATATAATTTACTACATATAGAAACCATTTGCATATAATTCGATAAACTCACACTAGTTTCTGTAACATTTCCTTGACTTCGTTTGGGCTAAGGTTTCTATTGTTAATATAGTATCAAAGATGCGATTAAATGGTGCGTTTTTTAGATGTGGATGGTGAACCAGGTAGTGCATGTTGCTTTTCTCTAAAGTCAGGTTCATTTCCCCATTTCACGTTTCATCAATATTCTTCTCATATTTTGAAAAATACTTTTAAAAGACTTGACCAGTCATTTCAACTCTAAAGAATGGTTTGTATCTTTTTTGCTTAAATTTTCATGACAACATTGTCTATTCGTTATTTTTTTATTATATTATTAATCTTGGCAAGAAACCCACACCCACTTTGCCCCTATGGGGACTTGAACCCTTGACCTTCTACTTTGTAAGACGAGGAAGTATTTGTAATTTTGTGGTTAAATCATTTGGGGATATATTTGATCATATTTATTAACCTTAATGCATGAGTCACAATTGATAAATAAAATAAATTTGCTTTGAATTTAATTTTTCTTGAAATTTTTTTGTATTATGTTTCATTGTTTAAGAGCCGCTTCAAATATAATCCAAACCAATCTCGAGCACTTGGGATGCTTGCTGGAGGGACTGGCATTACCCCAATGTTTCAGGTACTTATTCTGCGCTTCTAACCTTTGAAGTTCGTGACTGCTTCTTCTTCTTTTTTTCCCCCCCGATGACTATCTGTTTCTCTAGCTTCTAAGACATGTGCCTCTGTTTCTGTCTCTGACTACACAAATCAGGTGACTAAAGCCATATTAGGGAACCCAAAAGACAAAACCAATGTGCATCTTATCTACGCAAATGTTACATTCGAGGACATTCTCTTGAAGGTAAATGGTTCACTCTCTTCATTGAGTTTCAATTCATGTATTTATGTCCAACTTTTGGTGGCCATGGTTTAAAGTCTGAATATACGACATGGTCTTAGCATGGCAACAACAGCTCAGTATTCATGTCTTCCCTTGTTATTGGTGAGCCATGACAGTGCACTACAGACACGGCTTAAAAAAATGTCACAAAAATTATTGAAAAAAAAAAAAAACAGACATTATGACAAGGACAAAGTGGATAATGGTAAACCACACTTTCTAATACATATAACACAATCCAAGTGGCAAAATAGTTGTTGACTCCGCAGTGTACATGTATATATTCCCAACTATGTAATTAACAATTAGATAACAACTATTTGTATACACATATATTGTGTAAGTGATAGGGAGACAGCTGATCTATCATCTCTGTTTTTCATCTTTAAAATTATCAACCTTGTAAAGGTATTGGTTTGACAACTATTTACTTAATCCTTGTTACCTGTACTATGTTCAATGTTGGGACAGTGTCCTACATGGTAAGCCCGTAAGGGCTTCGAGGATTGCCTCCTTAGTGAGCTCATTCTGTCCATCTGCTGAGCAAGTTGAGATTGTACTTCTAGAATTGAATCTCGTGAGGTACAAAATGACTTCTTAGTGGCTCATATCATGAAATGCTATTGCTTTGCTCATTTGAAGTAGTGTGGGTCTTTGATATTGAGGAAGAACAGTGTTGCTATTAAAACAAGATTGGCAAAATGTCAGTATTTACCACCCAAAATAAATAAATAAAATAAAAGGCAAACTAAAAACTAAGGATTCGGATAGAGGGATGCTGATTATCGATTAAAATAGTTCATTCCGAATTTTTGCAGGAAGAACTAGATGGGTTTGCTAGCAAGTTCTCCAACCGTTTCAAAGTTTATTATGTTCTGAGTCAGGTTAGTTGTCACATTTCTTCTCTCTTGTTCAGCATCTGTCCTAATATCATTTTCTAATTCCTTCTGAAAAATAACCGTGTTTCTAAAATTTGAGGCATTATTGACGCTATAAGGCACTCCCTTTGTGTAAACTGTCACAAATATCATCGTAGATTCTGTTATTGCCATCTCTACTGGCACTCAGCAATTCCTCTAGGTTTGGCAGATGTAAGCATCAACTGGTTACTATGTTTAACTACCTTGAGAAATGACGATGCTCTTTTTTTTCCCATCAAAAATATATTTGTTACGCAATGCATCTTTCATGCAGAGATATGTTGTCAAATCCGAATTATCCAGTGTTGTGTTTAATTTGGAAATTTGAACTTCGTTTATTGTGTATGATATGCTTTCTCTTGATAAAGATGAAGAGAAATGTTATATATGTTATTTACACAAAACAATTAAAAATTCGATTATCAAATTTATCAAAAGAAAAAACAAAAACTATTAATATAGAAAGCCAAAATGCATTGAAAGTAGCAGTGACCTGAAAATAACTGGGACTGTACCATGCTGAGGTGGCCAGAATCATGGATGGTAGATAAAGGGTGCCTTTGATTTTTCAGGTTCCTTCCAGGATGAAACATGTCAGGTGAAACGGAATACTTTAATGACCTAGATGTAGATTCCATGGTTGTGTATGATGTACTTTGGCATGGCATTTACAGAAGAAATGCAATTGCTTGATCCATAGTTTTTAGTGGGCTCAAGGAAAACGGTTCAGGGCACACCAATGTAGCTAAAATGTGCAGACATCAAAAAGTTTGGTGGACCTGCTTCACACTGTGTTGCTTATTGTGCCTTTGTATAGCATGCTCCATCACTTAAATCTATTTGAGTTCTTACCATAATATTGGAGCATTAGAGCTTTCTGCTATCCAGTTTGAATTTTAAATTTCTATTAAAATAGTTAGTTTATAGTAAGAATATCCGAAGTTCGTGAACTTTTAAGGCTTTATTTTTCAAGGAACTTTCAAAGATACATTTATAAAGACAGTGATGGCCTACAAAATTATGTAACTTTTTTCAACCTTTAGAGAGTCCGAACTTTTTGGAATTTGGGGTTTATGTTCTCTTTTCTTCTTTTTCTATTTTCATCCATTTTGGAATTGCATCTTTCTATATTTAGGATATATTTTGATTTATATAAAACTCATGGCTTATGCTTTCGATGAGAGGTTCGCAACTTGCCTCTATTGAATAAAGACCCTATTTCTCACCTTATTAAACTACTAAAAGGCCTAGCCTAGTGCACGAGGCTCCCGCCACTGCGGGATCTGGGGAGAGGCTGTTTCTTGCTTGAACCCGTGACTTTCATATCACAATGGAGCAACCTTACCATTGCACAAATGCCCGACCTTAGCTTATTAAACTACCATTGTGCTTCAATACTCGTCAACATTTTGATTTCCCAACTGCTTGCTTTAATATATCTGCAGCCTCATGAAGCATGGAATGGCGGTGTCGGACATATATCCAAGGAAATGATTAACACTCATTGCCCAGAACCAGCACCAGATATTCAGGTTGATCTCTTAAACTTAATATACCTCTTTCCGTACAAAAATATCAATTAAACTCTCTTTTTTTCCCGAAAGTTCAAGAAACCAACTGTACTCACACCCACAACATTGCCCTAGCAGGATTCGGACACTCAACCTCTCTTTTGGGAAGGAGAGATCATACTGTTTGGGCTAATGTCCATTAATATTAAATTGGTTTTGTGTGTGAAATACAATGCATCTACAGACTAAGCTATGATCATCCATTAATTTGCAGATATTGAGGTGCGGCCCACCGGGCATGGACAAAGCCATGGCTGCTCATCTTCATGCACTAGGATATTCAAAAGAGATGCAGTTTCAGTTCTAATCAAATGGCTTGCAAGTTCTGTACAATAAAACCAAATATACTTTATATAAACCCTTGGAATTATTATGTCCACATAATAGATTTTTGAGATTTCATCTTGTAATGTTACTTTGCACAGTGGATAAATTTAGTAGCTCTTAAGGTTATAAGAATCTAATAAGCCATAACTTATGTTACATGGACTTGAGTACAAGTATCGAGTGCAGATCTGTATCCACGCATCTCACAGTATCAAGTCAAGTCCTCAACATAAGGACACATGGACATTGCTAAGTATTTATATTATTTAATGTTTTTATTTTATTTTTGGAAAAAAAACATCAGGTAACATTGTCTTGAATATCAGCATTCCGCTTGTTTTGAAGCAATTATATATTCAGTATCCGGTATCTGGTTGATGTAAAACATGTTAGAGCTAAAACATAAAACATAAAACATAAAATTTTATTAATATTCTTTATATATATATATATATATATATATATATATATTTACACAGTACAACATATATGCAAAATTAAGATTATAACTCATCATGTCCAGAAAATTTACATTTTTCAAATGATTTAAAATTGAAGCAGGTATTATATAAATTTGTAAATAAAAATGGTAGTAAAAGAACTAACCTTATCATGATAAGTTGCCTTTTTTTCTTTCTTCTTTTTTTCATTTTAAACTAATTATACTCTTTTCCTTCTAGTTTTCCCATATTTATCCGAAAGTTTTACTACTATTTTGGCTTAAATTTGTTGATACTAAGACTAATGATGGGAGAAATTGAGGGTCCTTATATTTTGTTATTCCATATCTGTGATAAAATGGAGATTTGCACTATTGCTGTTACATCTGATAAAATGGAGATTTTTTCATTCCTCATTTGCAAAAGTACCCATCGGGAGATGATTACAACCCTTAATATAAGGATTTCATCTTGTTTAGAGACCGGTTTAACTTGTAGAAACTAATCATGAGGTGCGTCTTTATTGGTTAGATTGGAGAGACATATGATTTCACACATTCAATTCAATGGATGAAGACGCGAGTTTACCGTTAAATCTAAAACAGATATAACAATGTATTTCCTCTTTACACCGTAGAAACTTTGCCAACCTCTTAACTTACTTAAATATAAGAAATTGAAAAATTGGAAAAAAAAAATGGCACCCACCCTCTTACAAAAATCAGCGGATTACCTTCTATATAAAAATGGAAAAATTTATTTACTTATTCATTTTGAAAATTCACATTCCAAAAAATTACATATAATGCTCAAAAGATTATATATTTATGAGCTTGAATCCCGTTTTATGCAATAACGTGCTGTTACATGAGAGAATCCAAACTTTATGTTTAGTTGTTGATTATTGTTAGAAGTCAAATATCTCTTCCTCCGCCTATGAGAGAATATTATTGACTATTTAAAATATACATACAGAGAGTAAAGAAAACCCTCTTATGAGTAGAGTAATAAACTTTTTTTTATTTAACTTTGAATTGAAAAATATATTAAATAATTTATTTTGACATTTTACGATTCTTCAAAAAATATTCTAATCCAGAGTGAGCTCATGGTTTTTTTTTTTTTTCCTCTTCTTCTTCTTCTTCTTGTAGTTGGGACTCACACACACTGCCTCCATTAAGGTTCGAACCCCTGAACTTCCTTTAAGAAGTAGGAGCCTTGTACCTTTAGATCACAGACCTGTTGGTAACTCATGACTCATTTCACAAGAGCATTACTCAAAAAATTATATGTACATTACTTTTACAAAAGGCCTGCTCTGGAGATTTTTCTTTTCCATATCATCTGGTAAAAAAAATATTTGAGCTATAATAGTGATACAAATTAGTTAGTGATACAAATTAGTTGGTCTCTTCAATTGAAACACTCATTTTAAATTTGTCTACTTATTGATTTTTGATATATATATATATATATTCTTGGTCTACATATTAGTTTTTGGTAGTTTTGCTATTCTTGTTTAATTGTATTGACATTTTCTTTCTTTGCCTTTTATTTATTTAGTTTTTACTTAACTCTTTATTACTTTACTTTTATTTTAAAAGTAAAGAAAATACCACTTAATAAACTTTATAAAGGAAGGCCATGTTTGCACTCCACTTTTCAACGTTGCATTACAATTATTAAATGAAATGGCAATTCTAACCCTAACTTTACAAATAAATAATTATATTACTTTCTAAAAGACAAAATTGTTCTTTTAAATTTCCTCTCCTTATCTCTAATCTTTATTATTTTAGGTCTCTTTTGACGAAACAAAAAATTAATTGAATAATTTTTTTTTTACGGGACCGAGAAATAAAAATTTATGTTGAATAAATTGACTCTTTTGACCGGACCAAAAAAATAAAAAGTAATCATTAAAAAAATTATCTCTTTTGGCATTTAAAAAAAAAAAAAAAGCTTAAAAAAAAATATTTATTGAAGAAATTATTATTTTTGTCAAGATCCCCAAAAGAAAAGAAAAAGTATGAAAAGAAGAGGATTAAATAAAAAAAAAAAAGTTATTTTTATCTAATAAATTATTTCTTTTGACGGGATCATAAAAAATTATCAAAAAAATAGATATCCCTTTCAATTATTTGAAAAAAGAAAGAAAAAAAAAAGTCATTATGAAATAAATAATTTCTTTTGACCGTCAAAAATAAAATTATTATTATGGAATAAATTGTTTTCTTTGAGAGGATCTTTGGAAAAATCAAATAGAAAGAAAAAAATTAGTAAAAAAAAGTAAAGAAGGTAAAAAAAAAGTTAAAGTTGTATAAAGGATAGTTATGATATTATAAATTTAAGATAATGCATCAATGAATTTAAGAACCAAAAGTAAATATAGTGTAATCGAAGAAAGTTGGAGTTCAAATTTCTTCTCCCTTTTATAAATATATATTATAAATAATTTTTTAATGCACTTTTAAGAGTATGTAACATTAAGCATGGAATCAACACCAGTTTAGATGAATTAAGAGACTTAAATAACCCTGTATATATATAACACATATACATATATTACTAACTATATCTTTTCTTGTATCTGAATTAAAAGGTTCCTGAGCAGTTCGTAAGATAAAACACTCCACTTCTCAGCAGCGAAAGTCAATATCTATATATTTTTTTCGAGAGGTAAAGAAATAAAGTTTAGCGAAAGTCAATATATTGCACTTCTACAGAATCTACCATTAACGAACTTCTCTCTCTCATGACCTTTTAGTTCTTCCGGCGACTCAATGTCCGGTGAATGGCTGCCGGCGGCGGAACTCACCGGCAGTGGCCGGCCGGTGCTCATCCCCGGCGAGGTCGAGTGCTCTCTCCTCTCCTCCGTCGACCTCGAGTGCGAAGAAAACCCTAGATTCCCTCTATTCAAATCGGGCATCCTGATCCTCACCACCCACCGGCTTCTCTGGATGCCCGACACAGCCGCCGCCAGCTCCGCCACTCCCGCCGCCGTCCCTCTCGCCACTGTTACCCACATATTCCCTACCAAGAGCAAGAAGTCCCTCAAGACGGTGTTCTCCAGCCCTAGGGTTCGGTTCCAAGTTGTGGCGACCCCCGAAGGAAGAGTCGACGAGAGGGGATCGAAGTCGATTGTGATCACCCTCGTTCTGAGGGGGAAATCGGATCCGGATTCGTTTTTGGGGAAATTTTGGGAGGCGTGGAGGGGGAGAGCGTGGGAGGGTTCTGGGTCGGAGGGCCCGAGTGGATCCGAAACGGGAAGAGGTGGGTTGTCTGACGGTGGATCATCCAGTGTTGCAATCAGAATGCCGGTGGTTGGGGTTTCGGGGATACTGAGGAAGGAACAGGAAATGTGGGAGAGTACTGATAAAAGCTTGCAGGATGCTTTTCAGGACTTGAATGCTCTTATGGTATGTATGTAATGTAACTATATATCTATATCAACACATGAATAAAGCTATCTGTGTATGAATTTATTTGTGAAATTTCATGAATAGGTTGTGCTAGGGAAAGAAAATAAAGTGAGAATTTTATCTTGCACGATGAGTCGTTGACGGTAGAAAATAAGAAATTTCACTCAATTCAACTGGCCTATGTATATGTGTATGAATTTATTGAGGTTTCTTTGTTCTTAGAAAGCAAATTCAGGATTGTCTTTCATTTCAAGGAATAACTTGTATATGTGCATTTCATATTAGCCGAGCCCGGAGTTCACTCCTTTGGAAGTTAAGTTTGAATTGTTGGATCTTAATAAGACGGATGTTAGGAGATTATGCTTAAATTACAAGTGTTATTTGTTTCACTTTTTGAATGGACTTTGAATGGTAAAATTTCTAAATTTAGTGTTGTTTTCTACCATTGTAATATCCTTAATCAATTTCATTTAGTTACTTATGATCACTGTTTTGAACTCTCATAGTTTTCTGCAACACTTTTTCACTTAGTGCATTAATAGCAGTATTGTAAGCATGACTCTCATAGTTTTCTGCAACACTTTTCCACTTAGTGCATATTATAAGCATGCTTCAGTAATGTTGTGGCTTATTGAACTCTTCAGAATTTGATGTGTGCTTGCTAATTCTCCTGCACGACTGTGAATGGAACTGAAACAGGGTTGTGCTTTCATTATGAGTTCTTTATTGTTTTTATCAGGTATCTACCGTATCTATATTTTAAATGGTTTATGTTAACAAGATGCTCGGTTTTGCAGAGCAAGGCTAAAGAGATGGTGATGCTAGCCGAGAAAATGAGGCAAAAACTTCTATCAGGCTCAAATAATCAATCCAATGCAAGTAATGATGAGGAGATGGGTTCCAAAGAAGAGATGCAAGATTGGTTATTGAGCATTGGTATTGCATCCCCAGTTACGAAGGAGTCTGCTGGTGCTTTGTATCACCAACAGTTGTCCCGTCAGGTTTTCTTCTCATTTATTCGTGTGTTGTTTAACTGAACTTATGTTACTAACCAATGTTTATTAGAGATGCATGCAAATTTAAAAAATTAAAAAATCCTTGAACAGGGAGAGTGATTTATGTGAGTGCAGTGGAAATCTTAAGATGCAGCCAACCTCAGCATTTAAAATAATCGATGGTGTGAAGTTCATGCAGACATTCCTTTTCTATAAATGATTGATTTTTATTTTATTTTATTTTAATTTATTTAAATAATTGATGGTGTAGAGTTTAAAATAGAGCGGTTGAGATATTCTATACCTTCTCAGTCGGAAGAAAGAAGTTCAATGCGTGAAGAAAAATAACTAGGGGGGATTGATGCAGGGCAGGGTACCTGGGCAAATAAAGTCTGTTAGAATTCTTCTTTTTCTTGATATACTTAGATGTAAAAGTAATGCTCCATACTAATAAAAAAAGTGAATATAACAGGGTATTGTTGTTTTCTTTGTCTTAGGAGGTCATTTTTTTTTTTTTTTTCTTATTTCTTATTCATTGTATTTTTAGGGCTGTAGTATTTGAATTTTTGTTCTCCTAGGTATTATATTTAGTGATTTTATTAGTTTTTAGTCTGGAGTTAGGTTTTATGAACACGCTAGAAATGGAAATACTTCTTATACTTGCGTTTTTTAACGAGCGTACGTTTCTGAAGCAATAGTTTGTTTTTCTTAAGTAAGTTAGCTGCATAAGGGCTTAAATCATATCCATGCTGCCTTTTCATAATCAACCTCTTTCCCCATCCCGCCAAACACCTACACACACAAACAAAAAGGAAAGGAAAAGGGAAAGTAAGGCCTGGTTGTTATCATTTTTGAAAAAGTTTTGTTCTCAAAAACCAAAAAAACGAAGAAAAAGAAGAAGAAATAAGACATTTATTTGATGGAGTATTTTTAAAAATTATTTTTCAAAAACTTTCCTGGAGATGGCGGGTTTCCAGTAAACTGTTTTCCGAAATTTGAGTTTATTACAGAATAAAAATGATTTGAGAATGAGCCATTTTGAAAATATTTATTGTTCTCATTCTCAAAAATTCAGAAAATGAAAATGATGAATGCTATACAAAACAATCTTTATTTATGAATTTTTCATTTAATTTCCAGTTTGAATGACGAATTGTTCATGACGTTTTCAATTGCTATGTTCTAGCAGTTATATTCTTTTCCCCTTTGATTGGGCTTTTGTTTATTATTATTTTTAGTTGGCAGATTTTGTCAAAATCCCACTACAGAGAGCTGGAGGGATGCTCAACCTTATAGATATTTATTGTCTCTTCAATCGCGCCCGTGGCACAGGTTCTGTTCTGCAATTCTTTTGTTTCTCACATTAATATATATATGTGTGTGTGTGTGTGTGTGTGTGCGCGCGCGCGCACGAATACACATATATTAAATTTTCTCTGCTGTGTTAATAGTGAATACTTGAACTGACAAACGCGAGAATGAGATTGAGCCTCAGAACAGTTACTCTGTGCAAAATATTGCCAAAAGTTATGCTGTTTCTGGTCTCCTCCTCCCACCACCCTACGTGGGCAGGGGCATACACTGTGTAATGCAGTTTATTAAATTTTCTCTTTATAAGAGTATGGATTAGTTTTGCAAGTTATTTCATTGTTATTTTTTATCTGTAAATCTTATTTCATTATTTTGTTAAGTCTCACAGAAGCTGGTAACTGATGTAGTATCTTCCTTTTGCACAGAATTGGTCTCACCTGATGATTTGCTGCGAGCATGTTCTCTTTGGGAGAAGTTTGATGTGTATGGCTGGCATTGTCTTCAACTTATTTAAGTTGCACTGTGTCTAGAAAGTGAAATTGGGATTATACTTCAAATTCTGGACACAAATTTCAAATTCTGGAGATAAATTAATATCAACAACTATCCTAATGCATTTTCATAGTCAATTGTGAGATCAAGCTTAGATGTATCGAGTAATTTATTAAACTCAGTTTTGTTTGCAGTCCTGTAATGCTTCGAAAGTTTGATAGTGGTGTCATGGTCATCCAGAATAAGTCCCACAGTGACGAGGAGGTATTCTCCGTTACATTTATTCTTTCTAATTTTGTTCAGTTTTGGATTGTAATCAACATATATATATTACTTTTTTTTTTGTTTTTTGGGAGTGGACGTGGTGGAATGAACTTATTCCTCATGATCACGGTTAGATTATATGATTTAATTAAATCAATCCTTAAAATAATAAATAATATGAATGTAATGTGAAGGTAACCTTTAAAATAAATTAGAGCAGTGATGCACATTCTGAATTCAGCATTAGGAATGTGAGATGGAGGGGGTGGGCGGTGGTGGGCTCACCCCATCCTGTTACATTCTGAATGCTATACATTCATCAGTAAATTTGTACTTTAAATAGAAGTAAGAAATATTGCATCTTGTAAAATGGAACATCAGAGTATGAAGTTAATCTAGTATAAAGTGTTTAGATGCTTTAAATCCCTCTAGAACTATAAATTGAAGAAGCTTATCTCTACATATGTAGAGCTGATGTATTGCATAATGATCTTTCCCTGGATTTGTAAAGCATTTGGCTTGAGAAAAAAGTTACTCTTAAGAGATGGGGACATCAGATGGAATATGGTGCTTCCAAATAGATTTGATTCAGTGGATAGGGTTTTATCCACCGAAGCCATTTAAAATGACCTTTTAAGAACTCTATGATCAACTTCAAAAGTTTGAAGGCAAAATCGAGTGGGATTTTGAAGGCGAAGATTGTAATGTATTTTTTTTTATTTTTTTATAAGTAATAATAAATTTAAAAAGGCGTTTAATAGGGGAACGCGTCCCATAAACATAAGAGAAACCGGGGTCTAAGGCCCCAAAGAATCCAAAAAAGAAATTAAATCAACAAAAGAGGAACAAGAACTTCTTTTCACATAACTAAAGAGAGAACGAATAATAAAAAGTTTCAGTGTCGCTGTAGACGACTCCTTCCCTTCAAACATTGTAATGTATTGAACATGGGTAATAATTGGAATAGCCATTGCGATGGCATCTTCAGCACTAAATATCTTTTCAAAACCACTCTTTCCCATTCACCTGAAATGTATCCACCCTTTTCTTTGGTAAGGAAGCCAACTTGGAGATGTTCTTCCAAAGACCATAACCATACGGGGATTCTATAGAAGACTGTGCACTTTGGTTCTTTGGCTATGTATTTACCCTTTTCTTTGGTAAGAAAGGAGCATTGGAAATGTTTTCCCAAAATCATAACCATATGGCTCTGTTTGATTAGGTGGAAATAGCAGGAAAGAAAGGGAAATGAAAGTAACACTTAAAAGTTTGGATGGCCGGAAAAGGAGAACTTTAAGCGAAAGTAATTTTCCATAACCACCTAACTTTCGCATAAAATTTTCCTACAAAGAAAAAAAAAAGATGATAATTTTGATTTATTTAGAAAGTTTGAATTTACAATAATGCCCTTTATTTTCTTGTATGTTCACGTATTCCAGACCATGAATTGGTAATTTCCCATAGCTTTCTTGAAAAAAAATGTCATCCTTATCAAATGCATGTTGGAGAATTTATTTTCCTCTCATTCACTTCACTTTCTTTTACTTTCACTTTATGCTATTAGTTTCTTTCTAACCAAACGGACCCTATGGGCTGATGACTACTGTATTCTTTAAAAGACTCTGCAGCTGTAGTTTTTTCCAATAAGGTTTCTTGTACTTACTAGCCATAATATCACTTACCTATTGTGTTTCTTCTAGAAGTAATTCTAGTTTACATATGCCATCATATATGCTTTACTATCTGTTATTAAAATTTCTTCTAAATTCAACCTCCGAAAAATAAAAATTTCTCCTAAATTTGTTAGGCAATGGGGAAGCAATCCACCTTATTAATTGATGGTGTTATATTGAAAATATTATATATATACACACTTGATTACATCTACTTAAATTTGTTCCCTTTTAATTGATGGCATGCGCACCATATCTTTCTCAAATCTCAAACTCTGGACATTCTTTCTTTTATCTTCAGAATTAAATGGTGTGTTTTACATTTTTACCTACTATTTTGATATCCAAATCCTTTGACATTTTTTTATGAGATATTGTTAAGCCTGTTCATTTGAAATTCTAGATGCATAATGTTCGATTATTAACAAGCAGCTTTAGCGTAATTTTGAAAACTATTGAAAGAAAAAAGTGCATATGAAACGAAGGTGCAACTTCTTGTGCTTACCTTCTTACTATGGTTATGATTTTGAAATATCAAGAGAGATTGAATGGAGACCCTCTAGTTGATAATATCTAACCAAAAATGCTTTTCATGAAACGCCTCGAGATTACCTTACCCAAGTGGAGAGGTACAATCTTCTTTCCAAGGAATCTTAGTGTAGGCTTAGGTAAAGCAAAAATAAGGAACAAGTACATCATTTGGAACACTGGACAAAGAACATATTTTACATGTTTATACCCTATATTACATGTATTCTTTTAAATGCGTGAAGTATCCGTGTTTCCAACACGATACTTGGGTATATATATGGGATAATGTGTCTCATTTGTGTAGCTGGATATGTACATTGCAAATGTATTTGCAATCCAAGCTAATTACATGATTGTATATGAAACTCTCTTGTTATGTTCCTTTTGCTACATTATTATGTAAAAAAGATTAAGTACCCCCATATTGAACTATGTGATACATCCAGCACCATTTTTTCATAGAAAATATCAAAAGTGTTAATACTTAGCTTTTTTTCTATGTCCTTGTGTTTGGCAATTTGATTGATATGATGTTTAGATAAATAGACACAATTGATGCATCTTTTCTACCAAAATCAATGTAAAGTGAATTTTTGTAGATGATTTTTCTGTTTGGAAAGTGATATGCACCCAACTCATGTCCCAAATTGTGAATATTTAGCTGTATTTGTTGTCATTGGAATTGGAGATTTGATAAATCTGATGCTTGGACCCATATCTGTAAGGTATAGATGTTGTTGAGTCCATGTAACATAGTTTATATTAAAATAAGTATGAAGTGAAATTCTTTGAGATGAATTTTGTTACCACTCTTAGATAATTGATATGCATGCACCCATTTCCAAACCTGGACATGGATCCTACACCTTTCCCTTTTGTTGTGACATGAAATACCACTCAAGCTAACAACTAGTAGTAAGATTCTTGTTACATGATCATAAAATACACACAGGTTCTTTATATGATAGTTTATACAAGAACGAGTTCCATTTAAAATTTTTGGTAGAACTAAATTAGTAATTTTCAGTCTATTTGTTATTAGTTTGCTTGGTTTTGTTGAGAATGCTCTTGTTTTACTTTCCCTGCTTGTTAGGGGTATGCAGCGTATGCCTCCTGAACTCATGTTCTAGTTTGTTGATTATTTTGATATTCTAGTATTCTTACCAAAAAATATTAGCAATTTTATATACCTTTGTATTAAGCACAGAAAGTTCCATGTTCTTGTGATATGTTTTCGAACTAGATATTATTAAAAATACGTGTAGAAGCACACATTGAAAAAAGAAAAAGAAAAAGTAAAAAAGAACTGATGCATGCACTCCCCAAGAATACTCTTAAACGTAATATTTTTAATAATATAAATGACACAATTGCATCTAACAAGTGGAGTGTAAGAGTACTTCTAAGGAGGGTTAAAAAAACAAGAGAGTACTTCTAAGGAGAACTATGTAGCATGGGAATGCTTTTGAAGGAAAATTTTGTCATTTCCTTTTTAAAAGTAAGTGGATTGCAACTATTTTTATGAAGTGCAAATATTGTTCCCATAAATAAAAGAACACCTTTTTTATGAGCTTGCTAACTGTGGCCAAATAATGAAACAAATATATAATGATGTCAGCTTCACAATTGAGGTGACCAAATGGCAAAAGGCATCTTTGAATATGCCTTGGATGGCGGGACACTAGTCAACGCAACCACCACTTGATTTTTTTAAAGCCTTTAATATTGTATTGATGCTAGTTTCTTTGCAAGGCTTCCCTCTCAAAATCTTGATTTCTCCCCTGCGTAATTCTGTCTGTTTTATGCATTACCTTGTAGTAGTATGTTGACGTCATTGAAATTTTCAGCACGTTTTCAATATTTGTTCAGAATCTTCAGATTGTGTCCAGTTCCCAACCTAACCTATGCTGTTTAATTGTAGGTTTTTGCTAAAATCAAAGTCCTTGCACTAAAGCCTGAAACCCTTCGAACTGGGATCAGTGCCAGTGATGCTGCAATGACGCTAGGGATTGCTCCAACTATGGCAAAGGAGCATCTTCTTACCGCTGAGAGCAAAGGTAAGCACTTGCAGAATGTTTCTCTAGGTATTGCTGTCACAGTCAAGATAATGTTTACTATTATGTACTATTGGCAGGTTTACTGTGCAGAGATGTGAGCCCTGATGGATTTCGTTTTTACATCAATCTGTTTCAAGAAATTGATTCAGCAAGCATATACCTGTAAGTATATATCTATATATATAAAGGATTTCTAATTGATTGTGATGACTTGATCCTCAGAAATGATGTAATTTTATTCTTATGTGAAACGTTTGCCTGTCTAGATATTATTTCCTAACTTTCTGGTGCTGTATTTGAAATGAAAAGTTTTACATTTTGTGGCACTTGCTCAAATTATTAGAAGAAACAGAGTTCACTGCACAATAGTCACACCTCTGTGGCTCTTGTATGGCTGTAGAGGACCTTTGATATCTGCACTAGTTTGACGACGGAGTATTATGGAACCCAGTAACATTTTGAAATTGTGGAGGAAGAATAATATGTCCCTTCCATGCAGACCTTAAAGGAGTATTGCTCTTCATGTATGATACATATACATATATATATATATATATATCAATATATAGGGTTAAGTGTGGAAAACACCCCTCTACTAAGCATACAGTGCTTATCACACTAATATATATATCATCCTCATGATCCGTGCACTATTCTTACCATTTTAGTCCCCTATTTCTATGTTATGTCTTGATTAAGTAGTAGAAATAAAAGCATACTCTTCCCAAGTTAAAATAATATTATCAAATATTATTTCTGAACATTTTGCATTTGTACAGAGTGAAAGATCATGGGATCTATGCAGCATGGATCAGTTCTTCATCTGTTTCTAGGTTAGCTGCTCTTATCATTCCATCTCTTAATTTTTATGCATCAGATCTAAAACCCATTTTTTGTAATTCCGATAAATTGAAGTGAATGCTGACAGTTTCTGTTATTTTATCGTCAATTTCTCTTGAACTTTTATCCCAAAATTTCTAGGTAAATTGGAGAAAGCAATGTAAGACATTGTCCCGAACGATAAACTGGACGAGAAGGAATTATGCACAGGTATATGCTGCATCAGAAATCACTCGCAATTACCGGAATATGTGGCAGGGATAGCAGAGGGACCTTTCTCATGTGTTTGTTCATTGTAACATAGAAATGAGTTGAGATCATTTATAGAATTGATAAATGGGAACCCCAAGTCTCCATTACTAAAGTTGATTTGGGGAAAAAGAAATCAGTTTTTCTTTTTCCCTTCCATTTTTGTGTAATTTATCAAATGAAGGAACAACGCAGGCCCTTCTTAATGATGGTTCATTTTTTTCTCATTGTATACGAGGTTGTAAAAAAACAGTGAATTGTTCAAGTTCTGGTAATAAAATTAAGGGTAAATTACACAAACACCCTTTGAGGTTAAGTCATATTTTAGCTAGATGAAGATTTTGGTTTTAACTTTCACTTACATTCCAGTTTACTTTTTGGCCTCTAAGAGCATCTCCAATGGTAAAATGCTAAATTCGGATGCGAAATCTATATTTTGATAGTGTTACAGTGTCAAAATGCTACATTTTAACAATTCTGCTCAAATGATGCATTTTATGCAAAATATTATTTTTTGACACAACCTTATTCTTTTTCAACTATCATATTTGCATCAGTAATGTTAATATTAAAAGTTGTAGACATTAAAAGGAAATTAAAATTAAACTGAATTAAAAAGAATAAAATATCTAAAATATCTTGTCAAAAAAAGACCCAAAAATATATATATGTATAAATTTATATATTTGATTATATTATTATATAAATTTTTTTTTCTTTTTCGGAAATTTATATATATATATACACGTATATTATATATATATATATATATATTTAGGGCAAATCATTTCAACCTCCCAAATTGCCATATATAGTTTTAGGGCAAATCATTTCAACCTCCCAAATTGCCATATATAGTTTTAGGGCAAATCATTTCAGCCTCCCCAATCGTCTCCATCTCTATTCTTGTTCTCAACTCTGAAATTCCCCCCCCCCCCCCCCCCCCTCCCCCCGCGGAACTGCAAACTACAAAATCAACAAGAATCAGAAGTTCAAAACTCATATCGATTGATCAAAACCAAACACTAGATCAAAACCAGGCATTATTCTCGGGAAACTCAATGTTCATTTGATTCCTCACACGCACGTCGATGTTGGATGGTTGAAGACTGTTGATCAGTACTATGTTGGTTCCAACAACACCATCCAGGTCCTCTATCTCTTTATATGCATGTGTCTATGTGTATATAATATATATTACATCAGTATCTCAAATTTTTTCTTTCCTTTATTATTTGATTTTTGAACTCCATGGCACCATATCCCCTCACGTATGTATGGGTTTTGTTTTAATTTTTTTATCTCTAATTCAATTTTATGATAAAGGTCTGTAATTTTATTTTTTTTTCCTGTAATCAAGGTCTGTAATTCTTGTTTTTTAAACTAAATCCTATTTGGTGTAATTCTTTTTTTTTTTTAATATAAATATATATATATATATATATATATATATAGATCCTTCTTTCTCTCTGGAATAGCTTTTTTTTCTCTCTCTCCCTATGAAATAGCAGTAGCTATTTCTTGTGCTACAGTTGGCATAAGAAATAGCAAAGCATTACCTACAGAAAATCAAATGAAAATGTTCTTTGTTTCACCAATTCACACATTGAGCCGAAACTTGTTATGCCAATTGATTGCTGATACAGACACAGTGGTGGGGCCCACACCCTTATTCAAGTGGATTTGGATCCTCTAACTTAAATCTTTTCTAAGTTATCTTAAGTTAAATTCTATGCAGATTGACACGTGACATTTAAAATCTTTCTACGACTCGTGTTAAACCACGTCAACTAATTTAATTTTTTTTTGAAAACTGTACTGTTTTAAGATAAGAAAAATTTACCAAAATTTGAAAATTGCACTGTTTTGAAATAAGAAAAATTTTATATACTTTAACGATGTTAACTTGGTTTTCTCTCTCTCTCATCTTTTCCGAAAAAGACCACTCCCTCTCTCTCCTCTTGGAAATTTAGATTGCAAAATCGCTGTGGTTCACTCTCTTTTTCTGAAATCTAAATTGCAAAATTGCTCTTTTTTTTCACTCTTTTTTCTGAAATCTAAATTGCAAAATTCATCTATTTTTTTTATAAAAAATTTAAACTACAAAATCCATTACAAAGGCTTTTAATTTGCACATTCATTTTTTGTGCAAATATTCCCCCAACTGTGGAAATAAGCAATAGGAGAGAAAGGGAGCGATCTTTTTTAGAAAAGATGAGGTAGAGAGAATGACTTTAACGTCGTTAAAGTATGGTGAATTTTCCTTATTTTAAAACGGTACAATTTTCAAATTTTGGTAAAATTTTCTTATCTCAAAATGGTGCAATTTTCAAACTTCATTTAAATTAGTTGACGTGTGGTTTAACACAAGCCGCAGATAGATTTTAAATATCACATGTCAATCTGTAGAGAATTCAACTCAGGATAACTTAAAAAATATTTAACTTAGAGGATTCAATTCCTATTCAAGTAACCTTTTCGAATCTGTCCAACTATTGGATTCCAAATTATTATTTTAAAACGGTACAATTTTCAAATTTTGGTAAAATTTTCTTATCTCAAAATGGTGCAATTTTCAAACTTCATTTAAATTAGTTGACGTGTGGTTTAACACAAGCCGCAGATAGATTTTAAATATCACATGTCAATCTGTAGAGAATTCAACTCAGGATAACTTAAAAAATATTTAACTTAGAGGATTCAATTCCTATTCAAGTAACCTTTTCGAATCTGTCCAACTATTGGATTCCAAATTATTTTTCATATGAACTTATGTAGAATATGGGATGGATACAATTAACTAAGAAATAGATCACATGACCCTTTAAATTATCATCTTGAAAACAATCCATCAAATAGTATATACATCTAGTTAACCAATTCTTCCTTTTTTGGCTCAGTTTTTTGAAAATAATTTTTTTGTTTTGGAGAACTAAAATTCCAAAAACAATATAGAATATACCAAATTTTGTTTGACCAGCAATTCTTGAACAATTTTATTGAAAAAATGTTTGTGGTTAAAAATCATTTAGCATGATTCTAGAATTCATCGATCAAGACCCAAATTAATTTAGAGGTTTTTGGTATTCTTTTTCTCCCGAAGACTTCTTTGACCCTGTGATATCACGTTATCAATGTTATTAACTAATTAATAGTTATTATTATTAGTGTGAGCAAGGGCGGATCCAACATTTCTGAATGGGGTGGGCTAATTTTGGACTGGCTAACTTTGGACTGGGTTATCATTACTATTTTTTTTAATTTTTTTTTTGGGCTGGGCTTAAAGTAGTATGGTAAAAAAAAAAAAAAAAAGTTTGTTTTTTAGGGTGGGCTAAAGCCCAGCTTCGCCCACCCTTGGATCTGCCCTTGAGTGTGAGTATTTAATCACTACCATGTCATTAATATGTGAACTTCTCCTCCCCACCAATAGAGGTTGACCACACACAACTCAAAAATTTGAACAATATAAGTGCAATGATACGATATCACTTAATAAAATACTACACTTTTAGTAATAGAACTCACAAAGAAGCTGATATAGAAAGAGAAAAAGAAAAATTTGCAATGGAAATAGGTTAAATCATGAATGATATAGAAATTTTACATTTATTACTTAAAAAAGTGTGTAGCTAGCAGGAAGTCGACTAGAAAGTATGTTTTATTAGCTTTGGTCAATCGGACTTCTAAATCATTGAGACTTTTTAAAAGTTCATTTTTCGAAATTTTACCAAACGCTCTTTATTATTGGTAAAGGACTTTCTAGGCTTAGAAACCCATTTTGAGGCTATAGAAAGCCCAGCCAAACAAGCCATAAATATGTTTTTATTTATGTATTAGGGCCCGTTTGGCATGCGTTTTGCTTTAGGTGTTTTGTTTTTGGCTAAAACAGAAACAGTGTTTTTGCTGTAAGAGTGTTTTGGCAAAAATAGGTAGCACGTTTGGAAACGATATTTTGCTGTGGAAATATCGAAAACAGAAACATGCAAAACATGTTTGGTAGACCATGCGTTTCAAAAATTTTAAAAACAAAACATATTTGGTCACTCCAACTGTTGTCAAAAAAAAATAAAACAGAAACAAAAAACATATTTGGTTATCATTGTTTTTAATTTATTTTTATAAATTTTAAATATATTTATAAATTTATTTCCATATAAATAGTATTAATATTTTTAATAGATATATTGAAATTTGAACACAAAGAATTTTCTCTCTCTACTTTGACAAAGTTTCATTACATTTTTCATAAAAAATAAATCTCCCCCCCCCCCCCCCCCCTTACTCTCTTCACTGCCCTTTTATAGGCAATTACAAATGCTGCTGGACTATCAGTTTTGGTCCTTCTTTCCAATGGGCTTGGTCTTTTTTGGTGGACCCTCCGAACTCGGCTCATTCTGTGGTGCTCTTGTATGGGCTGTATTTCAATTGTTTGCCCCTATGCCACGTCCGCGGACTATAACCGGCCCATCTCACTTATTGTATCCTTAACTGCCCCCATAATTACTCCCTATTAATTAGGGGGTAATTATTAGAGGCTGTTAATCATGACTTGACGGCTTGAGAAGATAGCATGGAAGAATGGACGGTTAGATTTGGGGGCCGGTGCTTCGAGATTCAAAAATCTCCTCGCTTTCCTGACTCCTTGGCCTTCGGGCCCACCTTATCTTTATAAGCTTCATAGATGCTCCATCGATTCTCTTTACCGTCTCCATCTTACTTTACTGTTGTTCAAATCTTCTCCGGCGATTTCTTGCAAAAGCTCCTTTTTCCTACGACCTTGCAGTACTCTTTGACGTTTTCTCCCTCTGAGGTTAGTTTTGTTTGCCTTTTTCTTTCAGAAGACCTCTTTTTCTCCCTTAAAATCCTCATTCATTCTCACCATGACTATAGATCTAGATGTTCTTCACATGAGACTTCATCTTGCTGACGATATAGAAATTAGAAATTGCCCTAAAGAAGTGAATATTAGAACTGGTGCTGGCCTTCTTTCCGGCGAAGTTCTATTTTCCCACCTTCATCTTAACGTCCTTAGGTTCCCTTTGCATCCCTTCTTTAACTATGTTTTTAATAGACTGAAACTTTCCCCTTTGCAAGTGAACCCAAATTTTCTTAGGGTTTTATCTGTTATACTGCTTCTGAACCGTGACAGAGGTCTAGATCTGGACCTCATAGATCTTCTCCTTTTTTTTACAAGGTTAGCAAAATCAGAACTGATGAACCGTTTTACCACTTCTACCCAATTGAGAAGAGGTCCATCTGCAAAGATAAAATCAAGTCTGAGAAGGGTTGGAGGAAAAATATAATTAGGATTAGGGG